TTTAGTGTTCGTTTTTTGAACACTGTTATTTTAAGAAAATAGTGTGAGGAAAATTTCAGCAATTATGGATAGAAAGAAGAAACTGTCAAACTATTATTGTTCAGTTCAAGGTTGCTCTTCATGGTCCAAGAAAAATCCAGAATTAAGTTTTCATCAAACCATTGAAGAAATTTTCAAAATATTATTGCCGATAGATAATACTCCCTGAATTTCATGAGGGTTGTTAGTAAGTAAGGGCACTAGTCTGCAGACATAATATAAATTTCTAAATTTAAATTAACTTTGCTCAATTTTCCCATATAGTACCACATGATCAGCCTTAAAAACTGCCTCTCCTTCTAATATACAACGAGAGTTTTCGTTAGCATATATGTAAATAGGAAATGTATTCCACAACGGATAAGTTCATAGTTATAACTTAATAAAATGTACATTACATTGTAATGCTAGAGACAAATAAAGTAGACATAAATACTTGCCTTAAAATTTATTTATGAAATATTTGAAACCTATAAAATAACACAAAAGTGAAATAACCGCAGTTTGATAACAAAATTACTAATAATAATGGCAAATAAGACAAATGTTGTTCAAATGAATGTGTAAACGCGAACGGCAATGTCAAAATTACCTTGTTTCGGAGCTTACTGCTTTCGCCGCTTGGTGCGCTTGCATCTTAAAAATTATCGCGGATAGTTAATCCAAGATCAATAAACTTCAATGCGTTTCGACCAATCAGGATCGACTAAATTGAGTCAAACTGATGTAACTGACAGAAGTGACGTCAATTTGACATTTTATATTTCTTTGGCCCTTATTACGTTACGCATTTGTTAGTTTATTCTTGGACTGTGCAGTAGTTCATAGGTAACTAGGATCAGTTCCAGAATTGCGTAATATACGATCGTAGTTAGAGAATTATACAACATTTACAGAGAAAACAGTTTTTCTTTAATTTACTGAAGAGATCCATTTCGCGATGCTCACCTGTCTCGTCTTTCGCGCCGCCTATTTGCGGGTGCAAATGGGGATTGGGAGAGCTAGGCGTAGACGTCAGGACTAGGGTCTTCAGGGCCGCCACCTCGGCGGTGAGCACGTCCACCTTCATCTGGCTCTCTTTTAGCGCCTTTTCAGCTGCCGCCTGTTTCTCGTTCGCTTCGCGTACCATGTTGTGCGCCTCCTAAAACCAGACGAACTCGTTAGTTATTCAATCAAGAATCAGACCCTATGGCCGTCGCGTCAACATTCCACGTCGAGCGGGGTTTCCCAAAGTAATTATTGTTGTGATGCGTAGGTTTTTTATTTTCTGTGACGGACTATAAAAACAACAGATTAATGAACGATGACAGACATGATAATGGAAATTGTTGGTAAAGTCGCACACTGTATTACCCACAATTTGCAACCAGCGCTTTCGCTAGCTGTACGATGAAGTATACTGTTCCGTTTCATTTTTAAAAGACGTCCCCTGCGAGTATGTCGAAGGTATGGTGCGAGGAAATTTTACTGAAAATAACAAAACAAGGCCACATGCTGGCACGTGACGAAGTTAAATTAAATCTTCACGATGTTCTGTGGAAGCCGCAGAATGCAATTAAAGAAACTTTCCCCGTCGTTTAACCTAATGAAATTGTGAATTTTCCTACACGCGCGCTTGGTATTTTTGTAGGAAACTGAATCTTTATTTGCACGAGTAAGTATGACGCTTGAATTCAAACAAACAAAATAGTTTTTTTTGTCAGAATCACACTGTGAGACGTGCGGTATAATCAACACTTGAACTCGCATAAAATACAAGGCCGGGTATTTCTAGCTACAATCGGAACTAGAATCGCGTTAATTAAGTAATTTTTTATACAAATTCCCAACCATTATTATCGTATCCACCGTAATGCTGCACAAATTACGCTTATTATTTGCGTACCTATATTAAGGTTTGCATTTTTTTCTGTGGACTAAGCGATTCCACATCCTTAGGTAAAAGTGTTAAATCTGAAACAATACAAGTGTGCATCTCATTTGACGAAGCCATTTACTGCACAAAGCGCCTTGACCCAATCCAATTTTTTAATATGGCTTATGAACTCACCTTGGTACGTACAATGTGTCTTTCTATAAAAAAGCGAACAATGCAATTCCTCAGATTTCATGTAAAACCAAACCCGTTTAAAAAAAGTCACCAAATATTAATTAAAACCCTAATTTGCATGAAACGTGTTTTGTATACACTTAAAAAATGTTTATTACTTGATAAATGTCGTATTCTATATTCAGTCAAACTGAACACAAAATTATATAAAAGTACGGGATATGTTGTCCGTATCTCGTTTATCTTCAGGGATACGGGCCAAAACGCCGTATAACCTGACACGAGACGTCAGAAGTTCTTCACGACTTTTCGTTGCTGCCTAGAAAAGATCACGGCGCAGCACACAAAAGCAAGTGCCTAGCTCGTAACAAATTCGACTGCTTTCCGTGGGAACACGCACGAACAATGGAATGCGAGTGTTCGCCGCGGACACAATGCGACATTTGCATAAAGTTACATCGTTCGAAATACACCCGTAGAAACAAAGCAAACGTACTTACAAAATCGTCGGTCGTCGTCAATTTGTCGATTTCTAATTTGAGTTCTCGCAAGCTGAAGCTGAGCCCTTTGTGTAACCTGCGTTCCATGTTGGCTATTAAACCACACTCCGGGCACAACTAACATTGGACGAGAATGGATGTAACCCAACGGCTTGATAAGGTGGTATCGCGACTATTTATAATTTATAAATAAAAGGAAACGCCCGAGGACCGGGTTTACGTAGCTTTTTATCGGCAATTAGGTTGATTTTGTAAGCCGTTGAAGCAATATGTTTGATTTGTTGCGTTTAACTTTGATTTGTTCAATGTTTTAATTTTTTCTCTGCCTTTTTTTGTTTTTTTTTTGTGAGCAAAAGAATTAAATAGACCCTTGCGCTAAATAAAAACAGTATTACTAGTATTTTTGCCTATTTCTCATACAGACAAAAGCAGACAAATAAAAAATACACATCACTATATCACCCACTATTTTCTTTATCAAAACTTGTAACGGCGTTTCTTCTTTAATTGGGTCAAACTGTTTAAATTAGTTTATTTCGTCGATTTCCACAGTTAGAGATATACTATGACGTTTATTCTATTATTTCTTAAGTCTTCTTTTAATATTTGTAACCGACAAGGATAAAAGTTGAATAATTTGACACACTTCAATAATCTTTGTGCTCGTCTAATATTATATTTTATAGATCGTGAGTTTTCTCCAACATAATGTTTATTTTTTGCATTCTCAAATTGCTTTAAATGCAATTTTTTCAAATTTCAACATTGTTTGGGCGCGTCCGTAAAGTATTATCTGTTCTAATTTAAAATTTGTTGTATGTTCTCATTAATTGATAAAATAAAACCCTGCCAGCAAGATTTCCAGGGTATAAGCTTATTATTAACACATTTTTTTAAATGATTTTCGCTTAATTAACCACAACTGACAATGTACCCAACAAACAAAGACCTAAGCACAAACAAATAACTACAGACAATGTATTTTCACTTCTATTTCAACATTATTAGCAAGGTGTTAAAAAAGTTTTAAAAGCAAAATGTTGACAATATTTTGATCCATTTCATCACCTTGCATTGTAATCGTTTTAAATTTATGTGTTTTTTAAACGAGATTCTTATTTTCAAACGATGCGTGACACTAGATGATTAAGCTGTATTTTTAGATGAAAAAAAACTAATTAATATTATAGCGGTGGCTGAATCTCTCGCATTCCTTTCTATTTATTGCTTGTACGGGGTGTTCCATTTGCGCGAGCCAAATATTCCATGGGGTAGAACGCCTAAAAATTATCAAAAACAAACTTCAAATGCCCAGTTTCCGAAATAAAAATGAAATTAAAATTCCTACACATTTCCTGAACATTTTTCTTAATTTTGAGAAATTTTATCACCCATTTGTTTATGCAAATAGAGACACACTTATACAGGGTTGGAAAGTCCCCATGGTTCATCCGCCGTTACGTGAGAGCGATAAAGTAAGTCATAGAAATCCGTGCGATAGAGAAATAATGAAGGCGTCTAATATTCACCGCGAATTTCACCCTTCCACAAATAAGAAGTGGATCTTATTATTGTAGAAAATGTGGATGATATTAAGCCTTCAATTTTCGTCGGTCATTCAAATGCTGAAATATAACCTCACTCTTTTGGCTTTCAAAACCAGACCGGTCTTTTCGCACGCACGTAAAACCAAGTCAACCAAATTAAACTCAATTAGACCTATCAAAATATTGTTTTTACTGTACAATCGACGTAATTAGAATTATTCCAGCGCACTTTCTCTATAGTCAGTCAAACAATTAATGTCGGGAAAGGTGAAACAGCGAGGCTCGGTTAATTATGAAATTTTAATTTGATAAATTCGATAAGAATAAAATTCGCGAAACAATAGCTGCGTTTCTGAATAATTGCTTGGCAAATCGGGATAGCATTACAGATTCCTTTTTTTTTTTTGTGTAACTAACGAGCTAAACTGGTATCAGAATGTTTATAAAACTATGGGAATTTAAACAACTTCAAGGATAAAGCGGATTATGTAGGATATGAGCGATGTAAAAATTCACTTAAATAAATTATATGACTGGCAGGCTACGTACAGGGAATCCCAACCAAACGGAGCACCATTTAATAAGTTGTACAGTTGTATATTTTGAAAATAAGCAGACTACTTTTTAGTATATATAATTTAATTAAAAATAATATCTCTCTTGTGAAGTATAGGTACTCTGATTAATTGATTTGAATATACGTAATATAATTTCAACAAACTTTTCGACTCTTACTCAAAGCCAGGTACATTTAAAAATCGTTACGGTTTATATACGGGGACTGAAGAAAACATCTTGTTTATTTTTAACTATTAGAAGCGTTGCTAAAGAGAATCGGAACGTCGAAGGACGAAATTATTTTTTTTTTACTGCGATGAAAAGATTTGTACCGATAAGTTCGTACATCCTGTTAACACGGCGTATGACAAGTTTATTAACTATAATCTAATCTCTAATCAGGCCCTTGAACCCACAAGATCAAATGAACGTCCCGTAATCGTTTTCAATTTCCTTTGATAGAGAACCTCAGTTCATCTGCACTAGTGATTTCGAAATTTCGATTAATACATCCGGGATCAAGTTTATCAACTTTTACGTGAAAAAAATAACGTCCAGGAATGTTTAAATAATGTCGACTGTCATTCAAATAAGTAATTGTTTCCGGCTTTGACAAGTCGTCGCTTAAATGAATACCCAACACGTAGTTTTAAATGGAATAGGCAAAGTTACAACTAATTAGTCGCCTCCAGAATTACTGGAGTAATCTGGAATTTGTAGCATAATATGAACCTACCTACACATTGCTAATTTCGTAATCTTACTAATGAGCAGTTAACCTTTAAGCAGTTTGGTGTTTGGCCCCCCTTTTTTATAATCCAAAATTACAATGTCCCTAAATTGCTCAAATAACTATGCCACTGTCGCTAGATCTGTATCGAATAAATTGATCGATGCGAAGCTTCAGCAGACATAAAATTACATAAAAAATAACCGAACCTACAGCGAACTCTGTACCACATTGCAACCGCTCTAACATTTCCGATCCCTAGTAATTAACTCTATCGTTAAGAGTAATATCTAAATTGTATACATCTATATTTCTCTTGAAGGTTTCTGTGTTAAAAAAATATCGATTTTCCAATCACGTATAATTACGAATGGCTGTAATTATGAAAATAGATCAAGGTACTTTCTCTTAATACAAACTTATAATTTGCGTTTCCTGTCTCGCCGCCGCCGTCGTCAATATTTTAATCGTGCTCGAGGAATTTGGGTTGAACAACCTACCGACCAAGGAGGCTACAGTGGGAACACGCTCCTGTTTAGATTATCGTGTAGTACTACCTGTACTCTTGGTCGATACCACTTTTTTTCTACCGACTACAATGGCTTAGAACGCGATTAATACGCGATGCCATCCAGGGCAGTTCAGTAAACCTAGTTGCCAGCGACCGCTTTCTTAAAATGGCTGTTAGATAACACACAACAGGTTCGTTATGAAAATATGTCTGTTCATTTAAATGTTTGTTAGGAAAGAGCTTCTCAGTTATCTGATCTATATTTTCGGATCACGTAAGGGTAGTTAGATCACTCAAATCGAAAGCGCGTAATTGTAACCTCAAAATTCGTCTAGTTGTAATTTACTCCAGTGATTAATTTTGATTAGAAATAAGCAACTACGTGCTTTCAAAAGAATCTGAAATGCGAGACGTTCTGGTAACACATAAAAGCTCAAGAACGCAGTACGTAGAAACTAACTACCAAGGACTTCTAGAGAAATTGTTTCAGCTGTAACTTATAATGTTTTTCATACAGTCTTTGTCAAAGTAATCAGCGGTAAATTTTTTCGCTATCTACGTATGAAACTTCGTACGTGCAAAACTGCGATAATATTCCAAAGAAAATCGTATCTGCTTTGCGTGGTATGTGAAAAATCGCGAACTATTCATTACTTGGCAACATTATGCATTCAGAAACGATTTCATTTCTCGTTTAACGCACGAACGAAACATGTCAAAAGCTATGCAAGCCGTGCAAATCACGGACTTAGCGGTATTCTGTATGCTTTAGAAGCAAATACAAGCTAGTTCATCTAGAACCAGCTCCTGATGGAATCGAAAGGTTGTTAAACTCCAATCCGGCATCTGAAGGTTTAAAGTGTTCGAAGTACCCATTGTACACCAGGAAAATTAGCGAAAATAAAAGAGAAACTCGAAAAAAGTCCTATCCGCTANCCGGTCGAAAACCGGACATCTGGCAACCCTATGTACAAATAATGAAACAAGGGAGGTGTTTTGTTTTGATGTTGTTTAGTTAGGTTAGGGGTTAGATTTTTTGTTTTAATCTAAGTGTGATTATAAGTAGATGTTTTAATTTTATATAAATTTTATTAATATGTGTCCTATATTCCTGTTTGTGTATATAGCTGTCCCTTGCAGATTCAACAGATAATTTTAAGATTTAAGATGAAAAGGTAAGTCTGCTTGTATATTTCAAATTATCCTGCTATTTACCTCATTAGTGTCTTTTCAATTAAGCTGATATTAATGATATTGTACATTTTGTGGAAACATGATTTTGACGCCGATTAACGATATTTAAATATAAACGACGTCTTAATACTAAATTCAAATAGTTTGTGCTGTTAATATAAAAAAAAACTATTATAATTTAATTGTTGGAGTATTATATGTAGAAATATTCAGGTATTGCGTAATAAATTGTACAAAAATAGGTAAAAATTAATTAATTTCGCAAAAACATCGAATATCAAACTTATATTTCAAGGCTGGCAATAGTTTTGGCCCCAAAATAGCAGTTGATCGTGTTATTTTATCAATGTCTAGTGACTTTTTGTGCCCCAAGTCCTTAAATATCCTACCCCTAGGTCCCTAGAAATACAAAAAAGACGAAAAAATATGCTTAAAAGAAATTTCAGTTACCTAAATTTTAACGGCGTTGCGTACATCAAGAATGTAACATTTTTTAAATGAATAGCTCAATCACCCTGCAAAAAAATGTCATAAACTTATACAAACCTCCAGTCCTTCCTTGCTCTCGATCTCGCAGGTAATATGCACCACTTCCTTCACGGGAGATTCCGGTGGTGAATTTTCACGGCCGTATTTGAGGTTGAAATGGGACGGCGATCGCCGGTGTCTCTTCGCGAACAGCGCCACGCCTGTAAACAAGCCCGCTTTTAAACTAGAATGCGTAATTAACATTGCAGAGTACAAATTGTTCATACGTGTGCACTATGTAAATGTCCAATTAACATGATTAACCCAATCCTCTGGGAGGAAAACGTGTAATTCCCCGCGAAAATAGGCTAAATGTCTACTAAATTGTTCTATTTGGCTAAAAGACTGAGTACCCTGTTTGTCCTAGGCATATCTACTTAGGTGTCAAAGCTCTTGCAAGATCTAAAAGTGTTACCACCAAATTTTTTGGATAAAATAAAAAAATATGGGAAACGACAATATTTAAAATTGAAAATACGTCGTAAAAATTGATTAAATTCACGTTGAAGTAACTTAGTATAATAATTAATGTAGATATAATTGTTTTATTATTTTCATTTAATTCACGGAAATTCCCCGGATTTGCATAAATAGAATCTGAAAGGTGAATGTAAATAATTCATGTGGTACACCGTACACCAAGCTGAAATAGACTTAATTCTATTTTAAGGCTATATTAAATGAAAATCGATATTTTCGTGTCAAGGTCAGGTCCGTAGGCCGTAACTTGAAAAACAAATTAGTTGGAAAAGCATTATCCCTCATCGAATGATCTGTATAAACACACGAAAGAGCGTTTAAATTAATTGATATTCATACAAATTTCCCAGAGCACGGTCGTACAAAATTACGTTCACGGTGCCATATTTTATAGTTTGTTAAACTTTCGTTCAAGGAAAAGGTAAATGAGAAAGATGAGACAACCACTTGCTCTTTAAAGACGTGTTCGTTCTGTGCCATTCACCTTAGCATCTACACTAATGGAAAAAATTAAGGGACCAAAAAAAAATCTAAATTTTCGGCGGTTTTCCAAATGGCTGTATCTTTGATAAAAATGGTCGTATTGAAGTTTCAAATTTTTGGATCTTGCAAAAAAAATTTTTCAAGCAACGCGTATCGCGCAATCTTAATGAATATCATGAAAAAAAAATTTTCTAAATTTTTTCGATCTTATTTTTGGTGTGCGGACTTGAAAAAATTTTTTCCAAGTTAACCACCTTATGGATTAGATAGGTTGTTCATTTAGCTTCAATGTCTTTTTTTTTGGTCTCGATACGACCATTTCTCGCTGAGCTATCGGACTTTGAATGAAAATGGATCATTTTCTCTTTATTCATCGATATCTCAGAAACCAATGGTTGCACAGAAAATCGACGGTGGGTTTCAGAAACTTGAAGGTCCTGGCACGGTTTTTTAGAAAAAAATTTTTTTGTATCCTTAATATGACTGAAAAATCGTAAAAAATAGGACTTTTAGGGGTCTTCTAGAAAATCACGTGCCACATTGAGAATATTGGGAAAATGACTAATGTTAAGTGTGCCTTTTACAGGTCATTGTACCCCTAAAAGCCCTACAGAGTTTCAATTCGATCCATCAAGCCGTTTTTTGTTTCATTTGATTGAATTTTTTAAAAAATTAAAGGATCACGTTTTTTTTGCGTTTAAATGCTTATAATCTGTAAAAAAATGAAAAAAACATGTTACGATACGTGTTACTTGAAAAAAATTTTTTTTTGCAAGATCCAAAAATTAAAAACTTCAAGCTTCAAATTGCTTTTTTTTACTCCAATACGACCATTTTTATCAAAGATACAGCCTTATGAAAAATCGACGAAAATTTAGATTTTTTTTGATTCCTTAATTTTTTCCATTAGTGTAATTCTTAGGATGTAATGAATAACAATCGATTTCTTGATTAGTAGTCCAGGCGGTACTTGTTTCGGGTTGGGTAAAACGCATATGATCGGAGATTTTTGCTTTAACGGCTTCTAAATAACATCAGAAATGATAATATTTCTATGCAAATAAAAAAACCCTGGGCTTAATTGTTATTGCAAAAAAGTATAAAAAAATAACTAAAAAATTAATTTTTTTCTTGGATTTCTCGTCGACAACTTAGCAACTATTCGTTTTAGACAAAAATTGAAGAGGAAAAAAAGTTCTGTAATTAAATTTTGTTCAAGATAGAGTTAGTTGCAATTCGAAAAAATAATTATTGTTGTTGCAAAAATCGGAAAAATCTTTTAAAAAATTGCAAAAAATGCTAGTTTATTTGTAATTTTTTTTCAGACACTTGAATAATACCTAGGATCTTCATACTTTTTCCAATTAAACTTCTTAGTGCATAGAATCATCACACCAAATTTCATCCAATTCGGTTCGATAGTTTTTACATAATAATTGTTTAATTTTTTTT